ACTACCTTTATTTTCACGGATCAGGTGGGGACTCATACTAAGTACTACATTGATTATAATTACGGTACCATGTTTGAGGTATGTATTTCATGTCAAGTATCCGCTCGGAATGGTCGCCGGTCTATTCTAGGTTCTAGTGGCCCTAGTCTTCCCACTAGAGTGTGTACATGGTGTCCGACATTTTGTGCTGGTAGATGAGGCAACGGTCATGGTTCACGTTCACGTGATGATATCAGGTTCATGTTCATGTTATTACCAGTTTCATGTTCAGGTTATGTATATATACCAGGATCATGATATTGTTATTATATTCACTGTTTACTTTAGTATGAGTTTCTGCGGAGCACAGTGTGTTAGTGCTCACGCCCCCACGTATTTTATGTTTTTCAGGTCACAGAGTCGGAGCCGAGGAGTGAGCGGGCGACGGACTCAGGACTTTTGTTTATATGTATATATTATGTTTTGGCTACGCTACATTTCCGCTATGGTTTTCAGTACTTTAAATCAGCTTTTGACCCGACGTTAGTTGGTTAAAATGTTTCAGAACCATTTTTACTATCAGTTTAAAAATTAACGGTTTTTTTCAGATTTTACGGTAACACTCCGAATCAGTTTTCGCAAAATAAATATTTTATTTATTTATTTATTTATTTAGAAAATTTGCGAAAAAGTGTCTTCTGATTTCAAGTAAATAGCGGGGTGTTACAATTAGTATCAGAGTACGTTTCTGCGTCTCTGAAAAGTTTTTACGAGTCAGAATATTTTCAGAAAACCTGAACCGTCACGCTCACGCCTCGCCGACTACAGGTAAGTGCTGATTTATGTTTTCAGTTATAAACATATTACTATGCCTATGCTCAGAAATTATTAATCATGACTTAGTTAAGATGCTCGAATCAGGATCAGACCTTAGAACTCAGTGTACTCAGATATAACTCTAGACGTCTTCAGGATCTATATCAGTATTTCCGGCCATTTTTGGCAACTCGTCAAGAGATCTGTGTACTTTAGAAATCAGTCAGAATATTCCTCATGTGTTGAATAATGTTGAACTTTTTCAATGATCTGATGCCGCCCCGTAGGGAACCCGATCATCCGGTTCTTCCCCAGGCCACAGTAGTCGCACAGTTCCGCGACTATCATCCTGAGAAATTCTCCGGGCAGGGAGACCCCCGTATAGTGGACGAGTGGATACAGGGCCTTGAGTTGATCTTTGAGGTCATGGATTGTCCAGACAGATATCGTGTCATCTGCGCTTAGCTTCAGCTAACCGGCGATGCCCGGCTCTGGTAGAATGCCTACTGGAGCATGTGTCCCGGCGAGAAGGAGGGATGTACATGGGATAGGCTCAAGGAGCTGATCCGCGAG